AGCTTTCTGCACCATCGCTACGAGGAGATGGTGCAGGCCCTGTTCCGCGTGCAGAGCCAGTGCCCCTACATCACCCGCATCTACAGCATCGGCCGCAGCGTCGAGGGACGACACCTCTACGTCCTGGAGTTCAGCGACTACCCGGGCATCCACGAGCCCCGTAAGTACGGGGGGATGGGACGGTGGTTTGGGGAGGCTGGGCTCCATCACCCCACTCCCTGCCATGCAGCACCTTTGGGGCATGGGATGGAGGGTATCTCCTTTTCCAGGCAGGACTCCTGGCCATGCCCGGGTGTAAGGCGGTGCTGGCTCCAGCCGGGACCCTGCAGCCAGCAACAGGACCTACACACAGGACCCGCACGCACGTGCCCTGCATGCGTGAGCTGCAGCGTGCCCAGGCACGTACTTTGGACACAGCTCTGATTTTTCATCACAAGCTAACGCGAGAACCCGGGCGAGTCCATCCCAACACCCCATCTGCCCTGCCACCCTCTCCCTCCCAAAACACAGTGTTGTGCACAGGCAGAGGCAGCACCCACCCTCTGCCCTTTGCTGCTGGATAGTGGCAGGAGGGAAGAGCCCAACCCTTCCTGACCCCAAAGCAAGGGGGACAGCGAGCAAGGGACCCCGGCAGAGCAGGCTGTGCAGCCCCTGTAACAGGCTGGTCTCAGGGATCTCTACCTGCTGCCACGTGGCCCTGTGGAGCCTTGGCAGCCACAGCTCCTTGAGCTGCTGCCTCTGGAGCATGGAGACAGACATGGGAGCCAGACCTTGCTGGCAGCCAGGTGACCCCGGAACGGTGAGAGGACCAGCCATCTCTCGGGGCTGGGGGTGTGCACACAGGCCTCCCTTCCTTCCCTGCCTTGTGCCCTTGGGCTGCAGATGTGGACGGGGCTCTGTCTAATTTTTGCAGGACCTTTTGCCTTTTCAAATCCTGGATGGTGTGGTTAAACACGGGGGCTGACAAGTCCGAGCAGCCTAGCCATGTGGAAAACTGCCAGCAGCGCTGCAGGGGTGAGCAGGACACATACCTGGTCCCCCCACAGCGGAGCAGCCCCCCAAATCCCACAGCACCCCACGCGTGGTGATGGCTTGCCCAAGGATACGCTGCCCCAGGGGCAGAGGTCCTCTGGGGGTATGCTGCTCCCCTCCTGTCGCCCAGAGCATCACATTCAGGGGCAATGGGAAGTGGGACGGAGGGCTTCCCACCCTGACCACCTCCACACCAGCCCCGTTTGGTACGAGGAAACCCACACAACACTGAGGATAGCTTGAGCACCTCCACAGCACATCAGGGGCTGATTCAGAGCAAGAAGCGAACAGAGGGCACTGGCAATGTGCCACAGGGTTTTAGACTTGCAGAACCACTGGAGAGCAGCTGGAAGGACCATAGGAGGTGACTGAGATCTCCCCTGCCCTAGGCAGGCAGCATGGACCTGTGGCCCTGCCTGTAGCATAGGCCAGCCTCAGGCTGGCACTTTCAGCTTGTAACATGAGGACTTTGGGAATCTGTGGACTCCTTTAAAGGCCATGGAAAGTTAACTCCAAAAAGCAAGCCTGGAGTCAGTGGGCTTACATGCAGTAATTAGGGCTTGTGTGTCCACGTGGCTAATGTCTAGGGTCTGCATGTTGGAAAAAGCTGACAAGTCCTGCTCAGACTCAAACAAAACAGAGAAGAAACATCCCTGCTGAGACCTTATTTTATTGAATAAAGGCTACACATATCCCCAGGACATTTTTATAGTTTTTATAACTGGATTACCTAATGAAGTTCGTTCTCAAGTCTCCTGGAATCTAACCAGGTCAAAACATGTTGCCCACCAAAGGTGTCCTGTGCTGAGGCACAGCGATCAAAAGATGGAAAAGCAAAATCTTTTGCCAAAAATTTTATATATTTTTTAGAATGTTTTCTCCCTGCAGTGTCTCCTCCCCTCACGGCAAAGGCACGGGAGATATCGAAAGCAGCATGGGTCCGATGCATGGGGCTGTGGTGCCTTTTGATTCGGATCCTGATGGACGCTGTGTGTGGCAGCGTGGCTGAACACTGCCACTGCAAGTCTGATGGTGGCTGGAAAAACCATGGTGCAACGGGAGTCTCAAGCTCTGCCAAGCTGACATTTCTGATGATACCCTATTTTTTCCTGACCCTTTCATGTGAAATTCAGGCTTCCTTCTTAACTGAATTTCCCTGGCATCTCTCATCCTACCAGTGCTGACTCCAGCCTGCAATGGGACATTTTATTTTCCCACAAGTAACTGCTTTAAAAGCCCCTCTGGGAAAGCAAAACCCATCCCTCACGTGTGCTGCTTCTCCTTCAGCAAAGCAGCGAGTCCTGTCTGGGCACTATCTGCACACCGTCTCCAAATCTCTATTTCCAGACCTCATTTTAGAAAAGTCGTGGCAAGAGACCTTTTTGCTCATACTGCAGTTGCCAGATGGACAGTCTGATCTATATTCAGCTCAGCCAAGGGTTTCTCCAGGCTTTTGTCTCTGTCTCTGGAGGTTGAGGAAGCCCCTAAACCTTTTCCTTGAAGGCAGGTAAAGGGAAGGGAGAGGAGAAACCGCTGCTGCCTCCCACCAGCACAGAGTCAGGGGTTGACAGGTAGCAGCAGGAGACAAGTGTGCCTTTCTAGGGACAGACCACAGCTCGCCCCAAGCCAGGCATTGATTTTATCCTGCAGAGTAATGAAAAGCTCTTTAAAGTAGGCAGAGCCAGGAATGTGCCATGCTGGTGAGAGGCACTGAGAGCAAACTGTGAATGGCAGAGGTGGGAGAAATAGCCTGTCCCCTCCAGTGCCACCCACCACAGAGCCAGGAGGCCCCAGTAATCCTGCCGGCATTTCCCAGTCCCTCTGTGCTGCCTCTCCAAAGAGACCAAACCAGCTGCAAATACATCTTCTCGTGCACTCCGAAGATGAGCAGCTACCCAGTGAGGAGCCTGGGCTGCTCCCAGGGATGCTCTGGCAAAAGGGATGGGAGCCCATACAAGAACTGTGCCACTCTCCCCTCTGAGTTTTGTATTTTCCAAGGGAAAGGGCTATTTCACACCATTTATTGGGGGTCCTTTGGGCTTGCCCAGGCTCCCTGTATTAGGACATGTTTCTTCCTCCCTGTCCCAGCACTGGGTGATGGTGTCATTGTCTTGCTCTCTCCAGTGGAGCCAGAGTTCAAGTATGTTGGGAACATGCATGGAAACGAGGTGCTGGGCCGTGAGCTGCTGCTGCAGCTCTCCGAATTCCTGTGCGAGGAGTACCGCCGGGGCAACGAGCGGATCACCCGCCTCATCCACGACACGCGCATCCACATCATGCCCTCCATGAACCCCGACGGGTACGAAGTGGCTGCCAAGCAGGTACCAGGCAGCGATCGCCTCCTCCAGCCGGGTAGGGGCAGAAAGCCCTTCAAATCCCTGCAGGATCCCCTCCACCATGCCTATGGGGAGAGGCCATTCTTCCTCTCCATGCCCCGCTAAATTTGTCCCACTCAACCAGTATTGCTGCTCCTTACCTCCCATGCCAAGGGCTCACGCGCTGTGTCCTGCCCCAGGTGCCCCTGGCAAGTGATGGAGGAGGCTTCCTACACCTGCCTTCCCCTCCCCAGAACTTCTATGTCATGGGAGGGTCACTGCAAACCCCGTGCTGGGGAAGTGGTATCTGGATGCCACTGTCATGAGCAGATAGGGACATGAGGGATGGGGCAGAGGGGAAGCCCTCTATTGCCCACCAAAACCTCACCCATTCCTTTGTACCTCTAGAATTCAGGGAAATATTTTATTAATGGCTCTTTTGTTTGAGGCAAATTCTTTATTGGGCTTGTGCGTTGCTCTGTCACTCTGGAAAATGAAGATATTGTTATTGACTTTCCTGTCAGTACCAATACTCTTTATTCTCCTGCCAGCAATAACATGTGTATTGTGACTCAGAGGCACCAAAGCGCCATTAGGATGGTTGGTCCCTGACGCTCTGACATCCAGCCTACCTGCGCCCACCCTGTACTCACCCCTGTGATGCACCTTTGCTCCGCAGGGCCCGGACAGCAACGGGTACTTGACAGGAAGGAACAATGCCAACGGAGTGGACTTGAACCGCAACTTCCCTGACCTCAACACGTTCATGTACTACAGTGGGGAAATCAGCGGGCCAAATCACCACATCCCGCTGCCTGACAACTGGAAAAGCCAGGTACCAGTCTGGGGTGCTGTGAGGGCTGAAGCATCCTCTTAGAGTGGCTCGGCACACAAGCAAATATACTGTCGTTTGGCTTGCACAGCGCTTGTCTCCTTCTCCATGCCTCCTGCATGCAGAGAAATGATGTAATCCTGCCCAGTGTCACAGCTTGCACCTCTGCCAGAAGGAGAGGCCAGCGTCACGGCCAGTCTGAGCAGAAGGTTGCAATACATAGGGCAGAGGAGGTGGCACGTGTTGGCTACTGTGCGTGCCTTGGGTTTTGGGGCTGTGCTGGGAGAGCTGTAGCAGGGTATGAAGCGCAGGAGCCAGCTCTGTGCACCAGGACAGGCAGTGGAGAGCAGAGGAAGCTGCGAGGGTTGAAGCAGGCAAACAGCGGGGCAGGGTCTGACGTGACCGATCACACCACAGCCTGGCATGGAGCAGCAGCTGGCTCAGAGGTGGCTGAGCTCTTCTCCCTGGCCCTGGTCCTCTTCTCCTCACAGGTAGAGCCGGAGACGTTGGCTGTGATCCAGTGGATCAGCAGCTACAACTTTGTGCTCTCAGCCAACCTGCACGGTGGAGCGGTGGTGGCCAATTACCCCTATGACAAGTCTCAGGACCAGCGGTTC